ATTATAACAAGTATCTCACTAATCTAATTTCTTATACATATACATATATATATATATATGTATCTATATTTTATTGTTTCTTTTATAATAAGATTTTAAATAATAATAATTAACCCAACACCCTCAAATTATCGGAATGTCACTTTGAGTCATGAATTACATATATTTATTAAAAAAATATAAACCCACACCTAAAATGCTATACAAACTTATATATGTATATGTATTTATATATGTATATATATGTATATATATTAAAAGGGTAAAATTGAAATGGGAATTTTGTTAGGAGTTAAGGGTGAATGGCATTATCATAGAGATTAAGGAGACTCTTTTGGATATTCTTTTAATGTATTTGTCTGCCCTTTGGAACCCACCACTTGACAAATACATGCATCCACATCATTCATACCAAAACTCAAAACAAAATTCCAAAGGCTCCATTTTTATTTTATTACATTTCTTTTAAATCCAAAGTTTATGAATTTAAATAAAATATTTATGTGGGTATGTCCATATTTTTCTTACATTTAATTATTGCTTTTTTATCATTTGAACTAACAGATTTTTCTCCATTTGAATTGAATTGATTTGATTATCACATTGTGGGTGTATATTATATTATATTATATTATATTATATTATATGCTTGAGTTTTGATGTTATGATTGGGATGACATTTACATGTACCCATAATTTTATTGGGGCAAAAAAATAAATTATTAGTTTTATTTTAATGGATTAAATTGAGTTTATGTATGCTTATATAATAATCTTATTGTGATGTTTCATTATGTAGTAAGATTAAATTTAATGTAATAGCAAATTTTTTAATTGTTATATTAATATTAAATCAACAATATTTGGTAATATATAACATCACAGGTAAATTCAAATTCATACATAATTATGTACTTATTATATATATATATATATATAAATCCCACAAAAACAAAAAAAAATTCAAATAAACAAAATGGTTTGTGAAAAAGACATGAGATTAATAGTGAGATTTTGGGAAGCTGGAAAAAGTTTTGGTTGCCTACTGCCTCGTTTAGCAACTTTAATCATTGCTGCTTTTACCATTGTGTAATAATATCACAATACAGAATATACATACACGTATATATATATATATACATATATATACACACACACACACACTGTTTTATGCTTCTTTCTCTCAAAAGTACAGCACAGTTAACAAGAGAAAACAACCCCATTTGCTTCTTTCTGTACGCATCATATGGATACATGTATAGATTTTCTGTTCAATAAATGATATTTTTTGATCACGAACGACGCCGTTTTGACAGAAAACATGCTCGTCGTGGTCACTACCCTTTTACACACAAACTTATCAGTAAGTACATAATTATAAGATCTACGGTATAATTAAATACAATCTGCAGTGAGATTAATGAAAGTTGCAGAACAAAGATCATTTCAAGAACAATATATAAATCCTGAGCGATCTAACTGAGCCAATCAGAAAACAAATACATATGTGACGTACAACGTACAACGGCCCAAAAAAATCACAAAGAATCTCAAATCTGAAGCAATCTAATCTATAGTGGAAAGAATGGCAATAGAGTTAAAGATAATAAGCTGATGAGGAGTGAGGGAAATATAGAAGAAGATGATGAATAATCTATCTGAATTGGGAAACTGCAGGTTCCTTGTGAAATATTCTGTGTAGTAATAGTGGCCAAACCTTGAAAATTGCAGGCCCTTTCGTCTTGATTTTGTACCTGGAAGTACATGTTGAATGCATATGAAGCATTCCCGTTTGCATCCAAATTGTTGCAGGAAGAACCATATCCGAGTGCTGTGCAATCGGAAAAGGTGCAAGCGAAGTTTATGTTATCTGGAAGTTCGCTTGTATCACCGGCATTTGGGTTGAACATACACCATTTCTGAGGAAGATATTTCACATTCTGTGCACCAATTAGAAACTTATTTTGACCCTGACCGGAGAGATCCATCGGGAATTTAGGTTGCCCATCGTACTTAAAAATACCCCAATGTCGCTCAAAGTTTCCAGGAGCAATACTCTTGGCATCTTCATCAATAAGTCCAAACAAGTAGACTAGAATCTCTCCAGGTCGAAGAGGGGTGCCTTTTCCAACTGCTAGTCTCGGCATAAGCCCATTGTAGAATCTTAATGCTAATCCTGAGTTAGCATTCTTGTCACCGTCTGTTGGCCAACCTACTTCCCCACTATAATTTGAATGTCTCCATGACCAACTGCTTTCAAAGACGAAACCAATGTATCAAAGTTGGCATCAAAAACATTCATGTACTCGATCCCATTGTCCACAATGGGGGTAGCTCCATCGAAGAATGCATAGTCAAAGGGAAAATTATCATTTCCATAAAGACTTAGAAAGGGATAGATGTTTATGGTAAAGGGTGCTTTGTTTTTAGCCAAAAACTCAACAATCTGCGTCATTAAGTCATTGATATCAGCCCGGAACCTCCCTGCTGATGGAAAAGGGCGGTCAGGTGGCGAGTTGTAGACATCAGCATTCAGGGGCACGGTAGCCTTTATGGAGTCTCCAAGATCAGCTTCATTAAGGGCATTTTGAATGTTCTGAAGTGCTGGAAAGGTGACATTTAGAAATGTTCCGTTGTAAGATGTTAGGAAAGGCTCGTTCCCAACTGCTACATATCTGTGCAGAATTAAGATATAGAATAAGCATTTGAATCGCTATGAAGTATGGAAAAGACTTATTTGTAAGGATGAAAAATGAATATATGTTCATTCTTTACAAGTTTTGTTCACAAACAGAATTATTTACGAGT